AGGCTGAGGCTTGTCTCTGAAATCTGGTGCTTCGGACTGCCCTTTGGTCCATGGGAGCTTTCAGCCATGCCCAAGCCATGGCTTGCAGTCTGCCACCAGCGAGGTGCTGCATTTCAGCAGTGATGATGGTCAGTCACCTCCACTGGTACATTTCTTTTTTACAAGCAAAAAGGAAGGGCTAATGGTAGTGAAAATAACATTTTGTGACTGAGAATGTGTTCTATCAGAGTTATTGTGCTCTTTGTAGTTGTTGTCATTTCCACGGAAAGAAATAAAAAAGCATTACTTTTGGAGCAACCTACATATAGGCAGCCCGAGATGATTCCTCATCACTCAGTGTGGCCCAGACAAGCCAAAAGGTTGGGCACCCACGCTCTGAGCTGTGACCATTGGTTGGGGAATTGGTGTCACGTTGTGCACGGAGGTGCTCAGCAGCCACAGGGCAAGCTGCCCATCACCCTGTAGCCTATCTATAGATCTCAGATATATGGGCTGATTTTTTGGGTGGTCCTGTGTGGAGCCAGGAGTTGGATTCAGCGATCCTTATGGGTCTCTTCCAACTTGGGGTGTTGTATGATTTATCAGGTTAAGCTGGTGTTGTGTTAGGAACAGATCTATTTGTTTGCCTTGTGGTTAAGAACAGTCGAACCCAAAAACAACAACAAGAAAAACCCTGGCAATTAAAATGCTGAAGGAAAGCCCTCTCTGGGGGCACTGTATAGCTCTGCTGTAAATACAGTGCATTTTCTCCTTTTTCCCCTTCCTGGCACAAGATGCTATGCTGGGATATCTTTCTTTTTTTTCCTTTTTTCCTCTTTTAAACCCTAATGTGCCTCCATTTTATCAATTAGCTGCCTGTCTCCCGATTCCCATGGCAACACAATGGGCTGTTGAGTTTCTGGTGCTGCTGTTGGCAGTCGGGTGCCTGGCATGCATGGCGGGAGCCGTGAGATGACAAAAGAGTTCTGCAGGGAGTAGGAAATACATGGCTAATGCTCACTGTGCAACGCTCCCCATGCTAAACTACTTCTCTTTTCCTCTCCCTCCTCCCCTTCCAAAATAAGTTTCCGTTCCCTTTGTTTCAGTTACACAGCGATAAGGAATGAGTGTCAGAAGACGTGGATGTGTTGGAGGGTGTGCGGCTTTGTTGGGTATGGATGGCACTCATAGCACGAGGCTGCTTGTGTCATTGGGATCTCGCTGTGAAGGTTATCCCTGCTGATGCTGGAAAGAGGTGGAAAGCTGAAGCAGAAGGCAAGGAGTTTGTTTGAAGGGGGTTTCTTCCTCCTGTACCGTGCTCCAGGGATTTCAGACACATGGCTTTCATTGGCACGGTAATGAGAGCCATGTGAGCAGGCTGAAGCTTCAGATGCAAACCTTTAACCTCCCCTGTGCTGAGCTCAGAGGAGTTTGTCTGGCTTCTGTGCCTGAACCAGCACGGGGTGCCGGGTCAGCATCAGCCTTGACATGGGAGGAGCTTACAGAAAGGGCTGCAGCAGGGCTGCGTTAACCTTACAAAAGCAGAAGGGAAAATGGAGATTTAGAGTTGGATAAGATGTGCGTTTAGCGGATGCTGCGTCTGACTTTGATTTTTAAGTTGTTGTTCAGCCCTGAAAGCTGTGACCTACAGGAAGACCATTTAAATTGGAAAGAATGAGCTTGACTAATGAGCACAATAGGGTTGTAAAGCTGGAAAGCCGGAGCAGAGGAGATCCCACACACTGTGGCTTGTCTCAGAGCCTGCTAGGAGCAGAGCCAGGCAGGAGCTCCTGTCTGTCCTGAGGTTCGTGTTGGATGGAGCAGCAGAGAGGGAGGCAGTGATCTTTGGGTGTGAAGGAGGAGGAATTTCTTCTTTACCATCATAAGGTAACTGCTGGTGGGAGGGTTGGAGCAGAAAGTACTCAAAATCTGTGGGTTTTTTTGGTTGTTGTTGGGTTTTTTCCTTGTTTCTCTAGTGTAACTCTGTTCTCTGCTTTGTACCTGAGATCTATACTGCTGCTTTGCTGTTAGCAACTTTTCATGGAGCTTTCCTGCTTTGGTGAGCCCAGCCAGGACAAGCAGACATCCAGGTGACGTAGGCATGGTGAAGCTGTTTGGGTGCCTGTAGGCTGGGGAGAGCTCAGGAATTCTGAACACCTGGGTGGCATCTCACTCAGCTCCTTTAGGGGAGGAGGTAACCCCCGGTGTCAGCTCTTAGAGGGCAGTGCCATTAGCCAGTTCTGCTGTCAGCTAGCTTCTGCTGAGGGCTATTCTAAAGTGCTCTTGGGATCAAGGACAGATCAGTCATCGCTGCCTTTTGCCTTTGTTTGGAGCTTGGCCTAGCTCTTGCTGAAGGGGGGCTGTAAGGATGAAGGGGACAGGCTCTTCAGCTGTGATAGGACAAAGGGAAACGGCTTCAAACCAAAAGAGGGGAGATTTAGATGAAATATAAGGAAGAGGTTTTCTACAATAGTGGTGGTGAGGCACGGGAACAGGCTGCCTGGAGAGGTGATGGGTGCCCCATCCCTGGAGATACCTAAGCTGGAGGGGCTGTGAGAACTGATGGAGCTGTGGGTGTCCCCGTGCCTTGCAGGGAGTGGGACCAGATGCTCTTTAAAATCCCTTCCAACTCCTAAGGATTCCATGATTTTTAGCCAGTTCTGGGTGTTGTGTGATCATCTAATTAACGGCTCTGCCAGACCTGAAGGCAGGAAGAATGGGTTTAGTTTGACCACTGTTATTTTCCCCAGAAACAGAGCGCACAAAACCTTTTAATTGTGCTGTAGGAAAGTTGGTGGCTTGGTAATTTCTGTATATGGGTAATGATAGCAATGCATTGGAATACCAAGTTCCTACACTATGGCTGTAATGAAAGTAAACCTTCTGGCAGTTCTTCTCTTACATGCTGTCTCTTGGAATAGCCTTATGCTAAATGATCATAATGCCTCTGAGTGCACACTCTCCTCAGAAACCTGTAATTAGACTCTTTCCCCAAGATGCTGTAATTGCTGCAGTTTGGCAGGCAACTAAAATGAACGAAATCTATGAAGTCCCACTAAAATGTCGGCTTTATTTCTTTCACTGGAATTCTGTGTGGCACCAGGAGTCCAATAGAAACTCCCATGTCGCTTTTTTTTCTGTCCTAGATGATTTTTGGAGGTGTTTGCTCTGGTGGGTGCTTCTGGATGTGGGTGTAAGTTGTGCTGTAGTGTTTGTTCAGCCCTGGGGCAGCTTTCTTTGTTTCTGTACTTCTGAAGGGTTGTGGTGATAAAATGCTGCAGCCATATCTGGCTATTAAACTGTGGAAGACTTTTATACCAACTCTGAAGTGCTGATGCTCTGTTCTTTCCCCTGGAATCAGACCTCCAGCACAGCTCAAATTACTTTGGGTTGAGAGCTTTGTGTTCTCTGGGCTGTGCAGGAGCTGAGCTTGGATCTGTCAGACCCTTTACTTCGAGAAGAGCTGTGGAAGTGGTGATGGCTGAGCTGTGGTGATGGCTGTGGCTGGATGAATTTCACAGTTCAGATAAGCACTCACGTTTGAATCATCCCTGCCACTGTTAAACTTTCTTTGCCTGCCCTGTCCAAAAGCTGTTGCCCACCCCCCTCTTTTGACTTGGGGAAGCTTTAATGAAGTCCATACGCTCTTTATTTTAGTTCCCCTGGGGCCTAGGCTGAAAGCATGATGTTTGTAGTAGATTTTGTCACTGGGGTCAGCAAGCATAGGGTCACTGCTAACTTGTTTGCTGGAGTTGTTGCTGACCCTTCAGGTGCAGCCATGTACTTAAGGGATGTGGTTTAGTGGGCACAGTGGTGATGGGCTGATGGTTGGACTAGATGATCTGGGTGGTCTTTTCCAACCTTAATGATTCTGTGATATTACTGAAAGTTTGGCCAATCCCAGATAAGCTGGCCATGACCTCTGGGGACAGTGAATTTGTAGCATCATCTGCAGTTGTTCTTCTCCCAGCAAAGCATAGCTGTAGTTCTGGCTTCAGCTTGAGCAGCTGATGTAGAAATAAGAACATTCCCTATTGCGGGTCTGAGTTCTGTACACTGAATGTCAGCCCTGGAAGAGCTGTGCTAGTTGGGGTTTGTAGATGCTTCCTGTTTACAGATGCTCTGTTTATATTGAACATACCCCAGGTGTCTGCTCACTCCTGGTTTCTGCTCTGCAAAGGGCATGGCAGCAGCTGGGAAAAGCAAATAATTTGCAAAGGCAGCTGTTGGATCCCAAGAAGCTATTAATGTCCTCCAGTGGGACACTCAGTGCTTGGGTTAACTGTATGCAGACCTGTGGTTCTATGGAGTTGACTAAAACATCATTGCCTACTCTTCTTGGTGACTGGCATTGTTCTTGGTTCCCCTTTTTAAGCACCTCCCAACAGTCCTGCTCTTTTGAGCTTATTCACACTGCCATGCGAAATATCCTTCAATGCTGTAATGGAACTGGGAATAAATGTATGTTATAATGGGGGATGGTGACACGGAGTTTGTCCTTTATTTTATGTGAGATCCGCAGAAACTGGGCAGCACGTAGACATTTCTGTTCAAACTGCCTCTCTGCCAAGGAAGATTTGTAGTTAATGGGATTGCTGAGTTTCTAACCTTTGCCTGATGTAAATATGCAACCTGAGCCGTGCTCCCAGATGTTTCCTTTTTGTAAATGCTCTTTGCTGGTGTTTCAGCTGTCTCTCTTCAACACCCTGAAAGGAGGCTGTGGTGAGATGGGGGGTTGCATTTCCCCATCTTTTCCCAGGTAACAGCAATTGGATGAGAGATGGTGGCCATCAGTTGCTCCAGGGGAGAGGATATTGGGGAAAAAATTCTCAGAAAAAGTGTTGATGCATTGACACAGAAAGGTGGGAGAGTCAGCATCTCTGGAGGTGGAAGCTGAGTGGCGCAGCCTGGAGCGGTCACAGGCATGGATTGATGGTTGGACTAAATGATCTTAGTGGTCTTTCCATCGTTAGTGATGTAGGATTCCTCCTCATACCACCCCTTTTCCCCTTGGTTTGCAGGCTCGCCTCTTCACAAGCAAAGTGCCACCTCCACCTCCAGCGCCGAGAAGTCGGGATCGAAGGCTGCCGAGGTGGGCGATGACTTCCTGGGAGACTTTGTGGTAGGCGAACGGGTCTGGGTGAACGGAGTGAAGCCAGGAGTCATCCAGTACCTTGGGGAAACACAATTTGCTCCGGGCCAGTGGGCGGGAGTCGTGCTGGATGATCCCGTGGGTAAGAACGATGGCTCTGTCGGAGGCGTGCGCTACTTCGAGTGCCAACCGCTGCAGGGGATTTTCACACGACCTTCCAAGCTGACGCGGCAGCCCGTGGCCGAGGGCTCAGGAAGCGACGTCCCCTCCGTGGATTCGCTTACGGCTCAGAACTTGTCCCTGCATTCGGGGACGGCCACACCGCCGCTCTCCACTCGCGTCATCCCATTGAGGGAGAGCGTCCTCAACAGCGCCATGAAGACGGGCAACGAGTCGGGATCCAACCTGTCGGACAGCGGGTCTGTGAAGAAAGGGGAGAAGGACCTGCGGCTCGGGGACCGCGTGCTGGTGAGTTGGTGGTGGGGTGGGTAGCCTTCAAAAGGTGAGGGGTAGGAATTCGTTCCGTCCCCGGCTGCTTCTGGTTAGGTTTGGGGTGAGGGAAGGATGATGGGTTGGTGGTGAGATGCGGGGCAGAATGTGGACTTGGGAAGGGGGGTGCCTCAGCCAAGCAGGCTTTGAACTCCTGCACTAATCGTTATTTGGGATGCTGTGTCTTGTGGATATCTCCTTTTTATTGGTGCAAGACAACTTACTCCAGAGTACTGCTTGCTCAGGGCTTTCCCAGTACAGTAGAGTGCCATCAGAGGGAGAGTAACTCAAACACGAGAGGGATCTAGAAGAAAAATATTATTTTCTATCCCAGCAATGCTCTCCATGATGGTGTGTATCACAGCTTTTGAGGGGTTTGCAGTAGCGTGCCTTGTTGTATGTGTTCAAAAGGGGAGTAATGAGTATGCATGGTGCTCCAGTTTTTAAGGTATTGGATGTGATGTTAAATCCTTTCCCATACGGAAAGAAACTTGCAATTATTTTTATTGAAGGGTGGGACGTTGCACTGAAGGTTGGGTTATCTGTGACTGATATCTGTTGTTTTAGGGTAACTGGTGGTATACTTGTGCTAAAATGGCTTACTGCAAGTTTGTCCCAGCAAAGGAGTCGTTTCTTCAGTGGAGATTGAGAAGGAAAAGAATATCACAGTTTTGTTTAGTGTGGATGATGAATGCTGTGATATCAAACGTTGTGAAGAAGCCAGCATTCGAGCACACATCTCTTCTGATTTTATCCATGGAACTGCAGGATGAAGATGACTTTAGCCAATGGGGATAGCAGGTGCCAGGGGCAGGTCTTTGTGCATTCTGGACAGCCTGGCTCCCAGCTGTGTAGTTTGGGGCATGTGGTTCTAATACCAATAGCTACAGCTGGGAGACCTCCCCTCTGGTTACAAGATAAGGGTTTGGCTCCATGGATGGATGCATCACCCCTGCTGCTGGCCCCACTGCTTCCAGGGGCAGCAGCAGAGATGCTCTGTTCACACACGCTGATAGGTTCAACATTCATAAGCTCATGGGAAAAACCAGCCTTGGGAATCTGTCCTCCTCTGGCTGGTTTGTCTGCTCCCCTCTTGTCCTTTACCTCTTGGAGGGACAGTGCTCAGGTGAGGACTGCCCCCTTTTAGCAGCAGCAAAATATGCAGACAAGAACCTTCAACGTGCTCGTGTCATAGAGACTGTTGGTGGTTTTCTCCCTGGCCTTCTGTTTTTTTTGTTTCTTTGTTTAGACTGTATTTTCGTCGTTGTTCTGTTTGTTTATAAATGAATGGAAGCCCCTCCCTCCCAGCCTGCTGCCTTATCCACCCCAGATGTTGTAAGAGAGAATTTGTGCTGTTTTTTGTTTCTGTAATGAATAACTTCAAAAGAACAAATCTGAAATGAGCAGAAGCTCTCAGCTTAGAGAAATATCAGGAGCTGTTTGCATGCAGTAGCAGAGATCTGGGGAAAGAACAGATAGAATCATAGAACCATTGAGGTTGGAGAAGACCACTAAGATCACCAAGTCCAGCCATCAGCTGGATTTGAGCCATTTTTGCATTTCTGTGTCTTTGTTCTTAGAGCCTTTCCAACTGAAGCAGTTGCTAAAAGTAATCTAATGGAGTTTTCCACTAGAAGAGTTAAGTAATGTTTGCCTTTGAAACTTTTGAACTCAGACTTTTTCCCAGAGATGCAAAAATTGCATTAAAGAGGTGAAAAAAGCCCTCCACCGTGATGCTGTGGAACTCATTTCTTGAGGTCTGGCAGATGAATGTGGAACAATTAACCTTCGCTTTAGTGAGAAGGGAGCTTCCCAAAGTGTGCCAATTGCCCGAGTGCTGCCATTAATGCGAGTCTGCCTTGTTGCCTTTCTCCAGGGGCAGAACGGATGGAAAAGGAGATGGAGCAGTTGAGTGCTTTCTGCTTGAGAGGAATCTCCGCTATGGTTTTTTTTCCCCTAAGAAAATGCATTTTACATGCTTTGAGGGGGAGGCAGCTCAGCAGCTGAACTGATTCCACCCTGAAGTGCTTGCTTAAGAACGGTGGGAAGGAGGTGCCTTCTCAGTAAGGAAGTCTAAATAAAGAATATTCTTTCATAGAGATGTTCTGTCCTTTCGCCATCCTTCTGTTCCCAAACTGAGGTTGCACAATTCTATACTGAAATGTAGTAACACGACTACCTAAGGGCTGCGATGTCTCCTGATTGACCGTATTCCTGTGGAGTGCTGCCCCAGATACTCCTCAGCTGGATTCTGTAGTGATGCTGCCAGAACTTGGAGGTGGCTGAAGCTGCAGTTGCTGCTGCAATGGACAGCACTGGAGGTGGGATGGAGCCTTGCCTTGGTGGCAGGCGGCTCTGGCTGCTGGGAAGGTGCTCTGGGCTCACCTCAGGCATGTGACAGCAATCACTTTCCCCTCTGTGCACTGCAGAGTGGTTTCTGCCAGCAGTGCGTTGCCACCTCTTGCAAATGACAGGAAATTCTCATGAGTAAACTAATTGTGTCCTCTTCTCTAGCATCCCTTGCAAACCTACACACCAGCCTTGATTTGCTAGCCCAGAGCTGCAGGAAGCCTCTAAGCAGCTGAGTGATAAATCCTTGCCATCAGCAGCTCCCAGCGAGGGGAACTGCAGCCTTTGCCTCTCTCCTTGGGCACAGGCAGCCATGAGCCCTGCTGGCAGCTTGCTTTGAGCTGTGTCAGCCCTGGGACTGAAGTCGTGTTGCTGTGAAGGCATGTGGGGCATTAGGAAGGAACTGAGGAACTTAGTGAAACTAAGAGATAACAGCACACAAATAAAAAGCTGCTGCTGCGTTAACCCTTGGAGGCTTTTTGTGCATGCACACACCCTCCTAACCATTCATTTAGGCCAGCACACTGGCCAGTGCTTGTCTTCTGTGTGCTATATTTGTCATTAAATAAGAGTTGTGAGCGCCTCATGGCAGAGCAAACTGTATTATTAACACGGGCGGACTTGGTATCAAAGGCAGCCCCAGGAAGGGATGCTGTAATTGCAGGCTTTCCCCTTGCACTGCATCTCCAGGGCATTATTTTCCTCACTGCTGCCTGAAAGATAAATGTGTATGGATGCCTTGTGTCAGCAGTGCTGTGCTGCAGGGATGGGTGAGCCCCAGAGGTAAGTGTTTGGGTTAAAAGAGGTTATAAAAATTCCTTTGTCATGAACTTTAATTACACACCTGAAGATGAGCCAGATCTCCACCTCACCCAGCGGAGTGCTCTGCCTGGCTGCCAGCTGGGATGTACCACTGTAAATGCTGACATGCACTTCCCATAGGTGTGTGTTCATCCCCCTGTACTTCCAGGTTGTTATTACCCATGATTTGAAGGGTCTGGATGCAAACTGCTTTGTTTCTGCTAAAGGCATTCTCTGTAAGTCAAGTTCCTGTGTGATAATCTTCTGCTCATCGGTGCTTGGAAGAGCTAAATGGCAAGGAGCTGGGAAGCAGCTTCTAGCACTCAGCTCAGTAGAAATATGCTCCTGAGATGAGGACAAGGAAAAGGTAAATGCCTGTCTGAGGGAAAAGATGGCTGCTTCATTTTAATGCTGGGTAAAGCCTGCCCCTCAAACAGGAGCAGGAAGCACCCCTCCATAAAGATGGGCTCCAGTTCTTGTTGCTATCATCCACTGTCAGTGCAGAGTAACAAGAACAGCTCATGCCGTTCCTTAGAAATAGTTGGCATTCCCAAGATAATTCCTCATCACTCAGTGCTGCCCAGGCAAGCCAAAAAGTTGGGCACCCATGCTCTGAGCTGTGACCATTGCTTGACAGATTGGTGTTACATTGTGCACAGAGGTGCTCAGCAGCCACAGGGCAAGCTGCCCAACACCCTATAGCCTATCTATAGATCTCAGATATATGGGCTGATTTTTGGGTGTTCCTGTATGAAGCCAGGAGTTGGATTCAATGGTCCTTATGGGTCTCTTCCAACTTGGGATGTTGTATGGTTGCATGATGTTCTTCTGAGTAAAGAAAGCACAGATGTGTCAGTACGTTGTGCTTGTTTATGTTCCCACCTTGGTCTGCAGCCTTGCCTTGTGGAAATGGCTTGGAAAGGAGCAGAGAAAATGAATGGGGATGGAGTATGAGATTTACGAGCAGGCAGCACAGCATCATCTCTGTGGTTTCTGCCTGGGGATGTGCTCAAGCAGGGGTCTGCAGTCTGTGAACTGTGCCTGACACTGGAAAGTAGTCCCTGTTGACCTGAATTAGTGTTTTTTGGTCTTTTTTCCCCTCTCCCTGAGCAGTGACTTGCAAACAGTGTGTCACTCACAGGCCCTGGGTTGAGGTTCTTGCTGGGAGTAAAAGCAGGGTGTAAGGGAAAAGAGCAAATGCAGATGACAGGAGTTGGACCTGCAGCAGCCAGATCAAGAGATGGCCTGGTGCTAATTGGACAAATTGTTTAAATGATACTTTAGCAGCTCTGATGAAGACAGTGTCTGGGAGGATCAGCATCATTGCCTTTCCAGCCCTGGGATACTGGTCTGAATCCAATTTTGTCATTTTGATGAGAAAGCCGTAGTAAAATAGGATGTCAGTGTTACTACAGATAGCAGGAAGGTGGGTGGACCTCTTTGATGACTGCACAGTGCTTTTCTCATGCTCTGAAGGATACAGAACCATTTTGTATCTGTGGCTTCCCATCATTCTGAAGGTCAAGCTCAAGACTTTGAGGCTGCTGGAGAGATTTTGTTGAGGAGGTCAAAACACAGATCTCTGGTCAGAGGCATGGAAAGGGAGCTCCATACACTCAGTGCTGGAGGTGTGTTTGTGGCCCTGTGTACTTTGCCAGGTAGACAGTTATAGACAGTTGTTTTATTTTGTAGTGAAACTGCTTCTGTCTTCCTCCCAAGGTGTGATAGTTCTGATTTGTTGAAGGTATAACAGAAACAAACGCTTCTGTTTTGATGAGCCCATTTGCTGTGTGTGCTGATGTGACCTGCCAGCTGGCTTTTTCCAAAGCATGCTGTTTGTTTTAGCAGTGTTAACAGATTATCAAGGCTGAATAAATCTGTGTGTCTGCATTGGATGAGTTCTCGAGGCTCTCCATCCATGAGAGTTTGTTGTGTTTGCCAAAAGTTGGGAGGCTCACCATGGGCTGCCATGCGAGTATGACAGAATAACTCTTAAAAGAGAAAAATAAAATGGAATCACGTTGCCATCTGGGGGAGTTCTTTGTCCAGAGAGCTGTTGGGCACCTCCAGCAATGGGATACCAAGGCCATGGATGGGCTCTGGGAAGCCTGAGCTGATGGGGTGCACCCAGCCCACAACATGGGGTTGGAGCTGGATGGTCTTTGAGGTCTCTTCCAACCTATCCACCCTTTGACTTTCTGTGCTATTTGGAAGTGCTCTTTGTAAAGGCCCAAGAGCAGTGTGGTGAGAATCATGCTGATGGAGGTTTTTTGAGGGAGCCTCCCAGAAGTGTTCAATTCCTATCGACGACGTTAAGATGAATTACAACTCTACTGAATTCAACTTGCAGCTCAAGAAACGTATTAGAAAGGGCATTAAATCATTGCATTAATATTAAGAGAATAAAACTGTCCAAACTCAAATAAGTCAAAAAAAAGAGGGCTGCTATTTGACCACGAGTAAAGAATTTTACTGAGACTGCTTGAGCCTATAACGAGCCAAGTACCCAATACTGAAATTAAACCATTTCACTCCTGGGCACAGTTTAGGACCTCCTTGTGTTGCTTTTCCTCCTTCCTGCAGTGAATCAACTTTTCTCCATAAGTAACACTTGGCTAAATTCCTAGTAAGGGAAATTACAGAAGATGAACTTGAGCTGTGTGCAGCTTGGCCTCCTGGGACGTGGGGTAGAACCCATCCTGCAGAGCTGTGCTCTTTCAGATGTAGTTATTTCTAGGTTGGGAACACTCATTGCCATTTGCATAAACCATGTTCAGGATATTTAGTGATTAAGGATTGGTAAACCTGTTACTTCCTCAGCCCAGAATATATAAAACTGGAGATTTGTGTTCCGTCACTGTTTTCTGTAGGATAATATTATTTTGTTGACACCCATTAGTGTAAAATTTAATATTAAAAAAACTAATAACCACCAGTCATTGAAGGTAGAAGATTTAATTTTAAGATTGTTAAGCTTTCTTTCCTTGAACGCAGGCTTAGCAGAGGCCAAAAAAGGTTTAAATCGTGCTGATTCACTTGAATCCTTAGAACATCCCTCCTACTTCTCCTTCTTTCTTGTCTCGGCACAAATATCTAATGAGGCCCATAGGTGTAAAGACAGTGGCAGCTGGTAGAGCTGCTGCTCAGTGAAACGTGCCCTCATTGCAGTGATCAAAACGTGGCTTTGTGCATTCCTGACCTGTGCTGTCCTGGGGTCTGCTCTGCACATTGAAAGTTTTAAGTGTACAAATGGGAGCAAAAGGTGTGATTTATCCTTATTTCTCCATGGTGGGGGTGGAAAACCAGGTGGCAGTTGAAGCCTTGCAGTACAAGAAGACCCTGTTTCACATGGCATTTTAACTCAGTGAGTTGACGTACAGTGCGTAGGTAAAAGCAGAGCTCTTTCTGAGCAAAATATCTTTATTTTGAGAGGTTTGCTGGAAGGGCTGCTGGCTATGTGCTTGCAAACCCTACGTGGGGATGAGCTGACAAGCAGTACGAATGCTTTGCTGCTCAGATTATCCCTTTGAAATCCTGTCCCAGAGCTGCCAGCTGAAAGAGAGGAGAGCTGAAACCCCGTTAGTGCGGGTGTTTGTTCTTTGCAGAAGGCTGTGCTTGGAGGGCTGAACTCTTTCAAGGCCTGACAAGGGACTGTATGCAATTAGTTGATGTTCTTGTTGCATTTGTCCTGACATCTCCCAGATAGGCATGTCAAAAAGTGGGAGATTTGCTTGTAGATGGGAAAGATATCTTTAGTGCCGGGAGACTTTGGTATGAAAATTATCTGTTCTGGTTTCATTACATCTACAGTGGAAAATCTGATAGATATTATTTTTTGCCCCCTTCTCTCTCCATAGCTATCCCAGCTTTAGTTGACCTGCTCTAAAGCCATTTTTGCCTCTAACCCTCAGCATTTTATCCCCAACAGGTTGGTGGGACGAAGACAGGAGTTGTGCGCTACGTGGGAGAGACAGATTTTGCCAAAGGAGAGTGGTGTGGAGTGGAGCTGGATGAGCCCCTGGGGAAGAACGATGGGGCTGTGGCTGGGACAAGGTACTGAGCACCCCAAAACTCAGCCTGGGCATGTGGGGTCCAATGACCTCTTGGGTGATGGCACCAAACACCATTTGGGAGGAATGGCTGGGATGCTTGGCTGGACCTGGGGGGGGTGGGAGGAAGAATCCAGTTCTTGCTTTTTGGTTGTTAACTGTTCTTGTATTAATTCTGTAATTCATAAATCATGGAATTGCTAGGGTTGGAGAAGATTAAGATCCCCAAGCCACCCCCACCATCCCCACTGTCCACATTCCTGGACATGGGTCCATGGCCCTGGAACATGGGGATGGTGACCCCACCACCTCCCTGGGCAGCTGTTTGCTGATGGATCTTACCAGTCTGCCTCAATGGACTCTTCCACTGTTTTGTTTCAAGAAAGCCTTTGTGGTATCTAGATGACCAGGCAGGGACACCCAGCAAGCTTCCTAAGCAGTGGTGTTTCTGTTCACATGGAAATTAGATGAGGGAGTGCCCCCAGCATCACATCCTGAGTTTGGTGATGTTCGGATCTAAGTTAAGTGTCAGTGCTTTGACCCTCATCCAGCACAGGTGGGACTGATTTCCTGTCCTCCACGAGCCCCTTTCAGAGGAAATACAGTTGATTTCTCAGGCTTCTTAAGGGAATCTCGCATTAAAAGTGAGCTTTAACTTTGAAACTTCTCAGGAACTGAGAGTTCCTCCGCTGTTAGATCTCAGGTTCTGTAATAAAGGTTTCTTATGTTGAATCAGCAGTCATATGTTCTCATTTAAAATCAGAGAAACGCTGCCTTGTTCAATGTCAGAGCAAGAAAGCAGTAGATGATTGGCAGCAGATGGCTGAGTTCCAGCCTATTCTCAAATGAAAAGAATCAATGTGATGGAGTGGATCCAAGCCCCTGCTTTCTTTATCATGCAAAATAAATTATCTCTAAGCTTAATCTTCAGGTTGTCAAGAAATGATGTATTGTCTTTGTGCATATGCGATGTGTGGAAGGCAGATGTGAGTGGTCACAGTGCTCTCTGCTTCTTGTCCTCACACCTCTATTGCTGGGTTTTGAAAGCCCAGTGTTTGAAGGCCATCTTTCTTCTGGAACTGCTGTGTCATGGTTTCATTTTGCTATGTTGTGTATCTGCAAGATGTCTCATCTTGCATTTCATGCTTTGTTCCTGCTCTTGATTTCATGGCAGGATCAAGGAATTGCAGTGAATTCAGAGTTTCTGATTAAAGAGGGGAAATTGAGGGGAAGTTGTAAGGCACCCCTGCCCCGTGCATCCCAGCCAGTGATGCAGATCTCCTAGCATAGTAAACACATGCCCCTGCTCATCCCTTGAGCCTTCATCTAACCTTCTGGTTTTGCAGCAGTGAAAATGCCTCCTTGGCAGCTGCCAGCACGCACTGATTTCGTCAGCAGGGTTTTAGAGGAAAGCCCACATAATAAACCTGACTCCCTTGGGGCACGCAGGCACCCCTTAGACTGTGTTTGCCATGGCTGCTAAGTGTTCCTGATATTGCCCTTAGTTCATCCTGCCAGAATCAGTCTGGGAAGAGACTGCCAAGGGCTCTGCTTTGGTGCTTGTTGCCATCTAGTGAGCATGCTTGGCCTGGCTGCCCAAGGCTCTGTGCTGCAGTAACTGTTTGCTACAGCTGTGTTAAGGTAGGGAAAGTAATGAGGGGTAAATGAGTGAGCCAAGGATTCCATCCCCATCCTTGTGGAGGTGAGCTGATGGTAGATCAGCTGAGTTTACTGATTCTCCTCAAGCTGAAGAAGGTTTTCTAGCAGATGTTTCTGCTGCCAAGTGTTCTGGACCCAATTCCTGTTTATGAACTGTATAATGGTTAATTGCAACCACTTCCAATCTGGACTAAGAGTGGGTGGGTAGATGCAGTGGGATGCAGGTTCTAATTTGCAAGAGCTGCTGGGGGCTGTGAGGGGCTGTGTTGTAAAACCCCAAGTACCAGTTTGTGTTTAGAACATGTAGACCAGTGCCATGCTGTTGGGCTGCCTGTTGCCAGCTGTGGTTGAAAAGGTGATGCTGAGGAGGACTTTGTCTGGTTTGCAAGAGGTCACGCAGATTTTCCTACTTTTTTCCATTTTAGATTAAGATCTGCTTGTGGCAGGCTGAATTTTCCAAACCCAAGAGCCTGTATGAGGAGCAAACAAGGGGGCTAAGCAGTTTTGGGTCATAGGGTCTTTTCTTTTAAAGATTATTTTTTTGGGGAAAGGGGGGGAGGGAATGGAGTTGAGCAGGTGTTTGAAAACAAATTGCTCTCATCTGGATGGGGATCAGGCTGTTCTCTGGCCTTCCAAGCACACAGAGCTCTGTGACGCAGCCCTGTGACTGCTTCCAAGTAAAAGGCAGTTTGGAAGCAGCTGCTCACGTCTGGAGAAAGAGGACTTGTGCTGGGCAGAGCATGAGCTGAAAGCTGCTACTCCTCATGCTCTGGAAGGACAAATTTACTGGTAGAGCACAGTACAGAGCTGTATGATTTGTGAGTACACTTTGCTACATGACTTTCTTGCAAGTAGGGTGGAGAGCACCCAGATGCTGGTTTGGGGAGGGCTGGTTTGCTTCTCGAAGGAAGGAGTGTGTGTGCTGTCATTGCATTTGTGTATTGGGATCCTATCTGGGCAACCACGTGGGCCTTTCCTGGTAGCTCATCAAAATGTGTAGCAATTAGTGCACGGCAATGCCCTTCTGCAGGGCTTGGGCGAGGTGGATGCTATCACCCTTCTGACACAGAGCATCTCTCCTGCTGCAGATATTTTCAGTGCCCTCCCAAGTTCGGCCTCTTTGCTCCCATCCACAAGGTGATTCGGATTGGGTTTCCATCAACCAGCCCTGCCAAGGCAAAGAAGAGCAAGCGGATGGCCATGGGAGTGTCTGCCCTAACCCACAGCCCCAGCAGCTCCTCCATCAGCTCCGTCAGCTCAGTGGCTTCGTCTGTTGGGGGCAGGCCCAGCCGCAGTGGGCTGGTAAGTGGCTTTTTCCACTCTCCATCTGCTGCTGGGACTCAGCTCTGCGAGGTGGGAGGGCTGGAGTTCAGTTTCAGCAGCTGCACTGGGGCAGCTGCTCCTTCCCTGTCAATGAGATGAGGAAAATGGAGTTTGGGATATGGTTTCCGACCTTACAAATTGGACTCCTTCCACGGATGTGAGATGTGTAACCAGACACTGAGCAATTGTGACCATTAGAGTCACAATTTGCAATGGGCTGCACCTCAGCTCCGCTGTCAAGTGCAAGTTTTGTTATAAGATCCCTGCACAAAATGCCTCTGCCTCCTGCCCTGTGTTTGTGTAGCAGTGTGCTGTTAAGCAGCTCTGCCTTCCAGCCCTGCAATGGCTGTATCTTAGCTCCAAGGGCTGACATTCTCCTGGATCACATGCCTTGTGCTTTGGAAGATGCTCAAAAAGGCAGACACCAGAGCAGCAGAAACATTATTAAAAGCTCTGACGTAGTGTGTGCTGCATAGCACCTGCAGTCCTCTTGGCTGGGGACAAGGGTGCAGTATCCATCACTGGGAGTGGATCCAACCAAACAACACCACTCTCCTTTTGAGATCAGTCCCCCTAACTGAGCTCGCTTTGGGACTGCACCAATGCTGGGCATCAACAAAATATATTTTAAAAGGCGGGCAGTACAGTATGTGCTAATCTTTCTTAACCCAATTCCCACTTTGAGAAGTGGTTCTTCCATTGTAGCATAGCAGATCAAGGCTTCTGCAGACTCATTAACCTGACCTGTGGGGCCCAGAGGGTCCAAAGCTGGAACTGTAGTTCTGTACAGCCTAATAAATGATCGGTAGACCTGAACTTCAAGCTATTCTAGACTGGGGAGAACACGGCTTTATTCTGTCTCTCTTTAACTCTTCTCCAGCTGACTGAGACCTCCTCTCGTTATGCCCGTAAAATCTCTGGCACCACGGCTCTGCAGGAGGCTCTGAAGGAGAAGCAGCAGCACATCGAGCAGCTGCTGGCAGAGCGCGACCTGGAGCGGGCCGAGGTGGCCAAGGCCACCAGTCACATCTGTGAGGTGGAGAAGGAGATCGCCATCATGAAGGCCCAACACGAGCAGGTAGGAGGAGGGGTGGCTCAGAGGGCGCTGAGGCCCTGACGCTGCTGCCCAAAGAAGCTGTGGCTGCCCCCATCCCTGGAGGTGCCCAAGGCTGTGGGTGAGCCCTGGGCAGCCTGAGCTGGTGGGGGGGCACCCAGCCCACAGCAGAGGGTTGGAACTGGATGGGCTGAAAGGTCCCTTCCAACTCGAGCTGTTCCATGGTACCTAATGTGCAAACTAGGCTCTAATTTTCTGCCTTTTGTATGGAAGCTTCCCACGCAGCAGGCTTTCTCCATTCCTGCCGCTGGAACATGCTCTCTTTTCTCCGTTTGCTATGCCAAACCAAGGACAGAAGTTAATTTGTTTGGTGGCTCAGTAGATCTGGGTGCTGAAATGCAGTGGGAAGCAAACACAGTGCCCTGAACCACCTGCTCTGGCCTTGGCTGTGGCTGCATTGCAGCGTTCTTTGATACTATCAGATGCTGCTGAGAACATCAGCTCAGTTGCTGTAAGTCCCTCCTTATCCAGAGGGGATGATTTGATCATATTGAGAGTTGGCAACTGTAAGGAAAGGCTGATCGTGCCAGCATTTTGATTTTTGCTTAAGAATGCACGTAGGTGGTATTTTTATCCACCTGGATGTACAAAGAAGGGAGTTGCATGTTTATGCTGTTCATCAATGTGTGGCCCTCTAATAAACTGTTCTTGCCCTGAGCTCCTTGCTGCTGTCTATAAACTCTGCTTAGCTGCAGGGATGGGTAGCACTGACTCTCTTTGTGGTGGGCCACACCTGCCTGCCAGAACCATGGGAGGAAATGGTAAATCAACTGCAAGCTGACGTCTTCCTTCTGGAAAGATATTTTCTGGTAATTATCAGTAATGAATTAATTGGAGCCTGAAATGATTCTCCTGCTCAGTGATGAGGGCAGAACTGGATCTGGTGACTTTGGACCAGATTTTCAAAACTGTTCAGGCTATAAGTGCTTAAATCTAATCAAAGCTGGACTCTCCAAAGGGTTCCTACCTGAAAGACACTGAAACATGGATCGGATTTACAGCTGGTGGAGCTTGAGCAGGTTTTTTTGATGCTTACGTCCCGGGCTTTTTGGCAAATCTACCTTCTTACAATAGCAGCCTCTGAAATAGATCATCAGAACCTTCTGTTCCCTTGTTCTGATCCTTTTTTTAAACAGCTTCGTACCTCAAATGTTGCCAGCTTTTGTGAGTCGGGCTCTTTTTCTTGCTGCAGTATGTCACAGAGGCAGAGGGGAATCTCCAGCGAGCACGAGCACTGGTGGATGGGATGCAGAAGGAGAAGATTGAACTGCTAAACCAACTGGAAGAGGAGAAGAGGTAAAATGGGAGCTGGGGAGGTGAAACCATGGGGGAGATGAAGCTCTTAGCTGTGAATGGCTGTTGGTTGGATGTAAGGACAAGAAAGTGACTGGAGAGTCATTCTGGGATGTCTTCTTGTATTTCACGTGTGCTGTGCTTCCTTGTCTTGGCTACTACAGTCTGCCTGTTGCATGGTTGGACCCATATTCTTGCCAAATACAGGTAGCTTTTCAGACAAAAAGCGCTTCTGACGGGGACCCCAAACCTCTGGCACACCTGTGAGGACCCTGGTAAAAATTTTCAGGCTGCTTGCATGTCCAAGAGTGTGTGACAGTGGCAGATATTGCCCTAACAGTACAACGTGGGCAACAGTTCTCTGCCACTGCTGGCTGATGGCCAAACAGCCTTGGTCTTCTGTTGGGCTATGAAGCTACTGAAGGCTTCCAATTATCTTTTTTGGTTCCTGATACTGAAGATGCTGAGCTGGGAGAAGCAGCATCTTTGAGATGTGGTAATCTCGTGGACGTTCTGAGAAATGGAAGTCAAACTGGAATACAGTGTGATTTCCCCACGTCCCAGGGGCTCCATATGATGATGCATGCATTTCCTTTCTGGATGAGAGGAAAGATCTGTTTGTCATTCTTGGAGGCCAAATGCTCCATACGTATAACTGAACCCTCCAGTGGGAACGAAGGCATTTCTGTGTGTTAACTGAGAAAGCTGGAAATGGTGCTGGTTTCAGTGGGACGGTGCTCTCCTCCTGGAGAGGAGTTGTTCATTCATGCTCTCTGGGCAGGCAGCTCATTTTCCCAGCTCCAGGAGGCCCTTTAACCCACGACAGCTGAGCTATTTCCTAAATATCAACAGATGCCTCCTCTAATTAGGGGAGGTTTAGACAAGGAAGCTTGTTTATGAAGTTAGATATGTACTCTCACAGCTATTTTTGTCTCTGTAACTGAATCAGTTCCCTTGCATCTGGCTGCCAGCGTAACATCTTCATTACTGCTATTTTTTTTTTTTTTCAAATCAGTAAAGAGAACAAAGAGGAGTTCAGCAGAAGATTGAATTACTGTGTATTGTTATGAGATTTTTACGTTCAGACTTTGCAAAAGAGTCCCAGGCACTTCCAGTTTGTGTTTGTGGCTTTATGTGTATTTATGCATAGCAGATCGGTGCAACCTCTGCACTTTACCTAAAAAGTTCCTTCTTTTCTCATCTTTTTTATTGCACAAGGATGGCCCACGTGCAACGACTGCTTGTAGGGTGCTAATCTGGGTGTTACTGATTGCTCTTTATCTCTTCTCTCTCCCACAGGAAAGTGGAGGACTTGCAGTTCCGTGTGGAAGAAGAATCCATTACCAAGGGGGATTTGGAGGTAATTCCCACTGCCCTCACTGAGATGTGGGGGCCAAACTGGGAGCTGTGTGTGTGGTAATTCCTACCTGACTCTGAGCAATGCATTCTCTTTACTGATGGCTGTGGATATGCTACAAACACTGTGGTGTAAACTGTGACAATTGATCTTTGGTGTGCTGCACCATCACTGGTAACAGTAGGAGCTGCCTAGAATTGCTCGTGTCCAGCCAGCCTGCCTTCAGATTTTGCCATGTGTTGTCAAAATGCATTAAGATTTGTTGCAATTAATAAACTGGAAGTGGTATTAGGAGCTTGTCCTGAGTATGTGCAGAGAAGAAGGAAATATTTCTGTGAAAGTGAGGCTCAGCTCTGCATGTGTTAGTTGTGGGGCTTTCCTCATCTTTAGCTATGGTGCTAGGTTGATAACAGCCAGGAAAATCAAAGGACCTGCTTCAGTTCTATCAACAAAGGGCCAGGAAAATGTGAAAACTAGGTGATGGAGTATGTTGCTATGGATGTGACTGTCTTGGTATAAACTTCTCTTTATCCAAAAGATAAGTAGAATAATGTTTGTTGGATGTAAATCTGCAGTGCCCTGATGGCAGACCTTTGCCAAAGGACAGCAAAGTGCAGTTCCTGCCCTAGTGAGTGGGGAATGAAATGGGTTTGATACTGAACTGACCTGATTGCTTCCCCCCAGTGCTTTAGAGAAGGGTCACTGATCCATTGGTCCCTTTGGGATGAGCACCAGGTGTGATGCTCAGAAGTGATTCTCCTTTTCCCTGTGGTTTTTGGCTCTAGGGTTTGTCCTGTTGGACAGTTCCATCCTTGACATATTATAAACTTGGAGTTTTTTGGAGCTATGGATCCAATATTTGGACATTTGGTAAAGTGGGAGGATTTGTGGGTTTAGCCTTGAAATGTGGTCATGATTTAAGTCTTCTTTTGGTCCTGGTTGGCATTGCTGATGCTTTGGAAGATGGAAGGCAATGGCAGGGAAGACAGACAAACTTGGCAGAAAAGCTTTTTAGAGTGGAAAACTGTTGTTACAGAAAAATATTTCCTTGGAGAGGTTATATTTCATGCTTCTCGCCTGGAATCTGCATGGCACTTCATAAACCACGGGAAGTTCTGAGACTAATAATGGGAATTAAGTCTGAAATACAGTTCTGACCTCTCTCAAAGGGAACTTTGATTTGAGGCTGACTCTCGGTGACAAGACAAATCAAAGGGCATAAAATCAGAAATAAAGCAGAACTTCATGCAGATCTTAAATGAAGCTGTGTTTAAGGGCTGTAAAAAGTCAAACTAACTTTCTTCCCTGTTTTTTTTTTTTTTTTTTTTTTTCTCCTCTATTTTCATATTGATTTTCAAGACTTGGAAAACAGTGGGTTTGATGGATGCTGAGAAGGAATATCAGGTGGCACTGAGGTAGCTTGGCTGGAAATTGGAGTGCTGACCTCAGGAATCCTGAGAAAGTCCTTTGTGGAGATTCAGAGTTGAATTCTGTGACAGGTCAGCTAAATGACTTACCAGTAGTGAGGGCAGTTTCAAAAGTTTACATTACTGAAGGGCACGTGGTTATTTTGAGCAAGAGTAAACTAATGAAAGTTCATTAGTGTTAATGGAATAACCATCCCTGTGAATGAATTCAAACCTGGAGCTCCATCTGAAGGTGTGGATCTTTGAGCTGTGTGGAGAATGGGAGAAGCCACTTGGTACAAAGTTAGAGTGGCAAGGCTTGATTTTCTTGAATTAGGATGTGTTCAAGCAACTTCAGTGCATTGCAGTGATGTTAATTGAGAAGTTTGAGAATGTTTTTGAGAGCACACCTTTTTTCCTCCTCCTGGGCTCAAACAGATCACGTATGATATGGAGTAATCTGAATATATCTGGTAGCTGAGGTCTTTACAGTCTGTGTAAAATGGTTTGTTTCAAGACAAGAGAAACATGGATTTTCACAAGTATCAATTTTATTTGCAGACAACCAAACATTTGCAAAAAAAAAGAAAAAAAACCCAAAAAAAACCCAAAACAAACACACAAATCATAAAACAAGTCCAATAGAAAGAGCAGAAAGCAAATAATTCTGTTGAAAACGAAAGTCAGAAAAGGGAGATTATAAACACATATCTATCATCTATCTATATCTATCTATCTATCTATATATCTGGTTCAGAACAAGTTCCTTTTATGGTAGGTCCAGTTTATTCCAAAGGAAAATGTTTTTGTAAGCTGAAGCGTGCAAGAGGTGGAGTTTGCAGGCACTTTTCCCACGTATCCCCTCTTTAGTTTATGGGAAACTTCACGTGATGTGACAGTGGTGATTGCAGAGTCCTGAAGTATGCCACCAAGGACATCTGTATGGTGCTTCTGCTTAGAGGGGAAGCACTGTATGGAGTCAGTGCTCTTGGATTTGGTCAGGTAATGACAGCTTCTTGTGCTTAGCTTACTTATCCGTGCTGTTTTTCTCAAGCTGTCTTTTGTACAAGGCTACTAGTTTTAGGTTTTTGAAATTGCTTTGAAATTCACAGCAGCCCTATTCAAAATGAAGCATTGATTTGTACAGCCCAGTATCTGTATTTCTTTGATTTATGCTCAGTGCAGTGTGGGTTTGGTTTTAGCAGATGCTGAGCACAGTATGACCTGCTGTTGTGTTTTTTCCACCTAGTGCAGGGTTCAAGGTGTCCCCAGAGCAAAAAGGATGGGAACTTCCAACACTTTTCAGTCAACCTGAAGAGCAAGAGACCTCTTTGTGCATCATCACTTCTTGCTTTGGAACCCAGAACTGCAGCGTGCATGGTGCACAGTTTGAGATTTTTATTTTGTAGTAGTCCTACTGTAAATTTTATCAACCTTGTGAGGAAGAAGATCGTGTTTGTGATGCAAGGGTCTTGTAGTGGTGGTCTGCAGCAGTCAGAGTTCTGCTTTTTAGGACTTACCTTCAGCATCCTAATGCAGAGGGGCTGTTTTTCCCTTTGGATTGCATTTTGTTGTGAATAGCTGCTACGAGTACCACGTAAAATCCCACAGTGACCATTTTTTGTTTGGTTGGATATTTCCTGCTTGTTTGGATCTTTATTCTCCTCCTGTTGTGAACTACCTTTCCTTATCCTGTATGCCAGACATGATGTTGCAGCCTTCTCTTTCCCTCTCTCTCCCTCTCTCTCCCCTCCCTTTTCCCCATCTCTACTGTTCCTTTCCCCCCCGTGTGACCAGACTCAGACGCAGTTGGAGCATGCCCGAATACGGGAGCTCGAGCAGAGCCTGCTGTTTGAGAAGGCACAGGCTGAGAAACTCCTCAGAGAATTAGAGGACACCAGGGTAATCCGCTCCCACTTACCCTGCCTGCAGAACAGCGCTCGTCCCCACCTTGATGCTCGTGATACTGCTTTGGGTTTCATTTTGGTTTATGCGGTTGATTGGGTTTGGCTTGAATGTAGGCATCCCCGATTTTTATTTGGTTTGGTTTTTCTTTGCTCTCTCCCTCCCTGGAAATGGTAGCACTGTCTGATTTCTAGCTTGGCTTCTTGCGGGGAGGACTTGTTTCCCAGATTGAGCTTGCTTCTCTGCCCCATGCCACCATTTGACCATGAGCTCTTCACAACTCATCATTCAATTAACATGCTCGAATAATACCTGCAACCCTGCACAATTCATGCTGCCCAGAGGCTGTAATAGGAAATAACATTGCAATCAGCATTCCCTTTGTCCCCGCTCCAGCCGTGGGAGCTGTGGTTCAAAATGAAAGAGCAGTGGTGAGGCCAAATGGGACAGCTCCAATCCTTGTCCAGCAACGTACGTACGCACTGCCCATGTGAACCATGCACCCAATCCTGAAAGAATCATAGAATTGTTAAAGTTGGGAAAGACCTCTAAGATCATCTCATCCAAATGTCCACCTAGCACCAGCACTGCCCGCTAACCCATGTCCCTTTCCTAAAACACTTCCAGGGATGGTGTCTCCACCACCTTCCAGCAACATGTTCCAATGCCTAACCACTCCTTCTGAGGAGAAGTTCTTTCTAACATCCAACCTGACAGCTGCCAGATGTGGAAAGATCTTTTTCGTGCTGTTGAGTGGTGTGGGAAGCGGCCAACTCACTGTGATGAGCCTGCTTCTCAGCAGTGGGTTTGTTAGAGTTGAAAACACGACTGTGAGGTTTTCCAAAAGGTTTCTAAATGGTTGGAGTGCCCCTTTGCCCAACTAAAAGCAAAACTACGCAGTCCTCCTGGGCTGGTGGTTGTGGGCGATACGGCGAATGAAATGGAGTTGTTTTGACACTGGAAGATTCAGTTGGTTTCCTTGTTTCTTCTGCTTTTTTCTAATATTTCAGCTGTTCAGATTTCCTCTTCTACATTCATTGCCAGAGCAGACCCAACTCCCTGTGACCAGCAGGCAGTTCTGCCCTCTTAGGTTGTGTTTGTGTTGTATGGCACTGATCCATAGGCCTTATGCTCCCCGTTAACCATCATTAGATTTGTTGTCCCGCATCCTCTAGCCTTATTTTTACTTTCCTGACAAACTCTAACAAGTACTCACACACAAAATCCCTTTTCCTTTTTACACCAGGGTAAACAAATGACAAGCAGAGGTGGGGTCTATAGGCCAAGGTTTGCTGAGCAAGAATGGAAACGTTTTGCTTAATGCTGGTTTCAATGCTTGCGGTCTTCCTGCATGTGCAGTCACATTTCCTCTGTGCGTCATCTGGCAAGGTGCCTGGTCTGGAAATATAATGGCCTTTCAGGACATTATTTTTTCATAAACTGCTGGTGCTGCTCTTTAGCATATGCAAAGGGTTTTGTCAAAGGTATGTATTTCTGTCTTGAAAATAAGTGGCTTGTATTAGAAAAGCAAACTGTAATTGGCCCAAAGAAGTAGCTATCAGTTATCGGTGATAATTACCCTGGTGCAAAACTGTGCTCAGGTCGGAGGGTGCTGGGCGTCCTTCCCCTTTTATTTGAATTCTGACTAATGTACTTTGGATCTACTTCCACCGAAGCCCATTTCCGAAAGGGATGGGTGCAGCGATGGGCAGCGGGTGCTGACTTTGTCTTCTCTGTCACGTTGCAGCTAACCACGGTGGCGGAGCAGTCCCGCATCCTGCAGCTGGAGGAGGAGCTGAGCCTGCGGCGCAGCGAGGTGGATGAGCTGCGGCAGTGCTTGCGGAGCTCGCACCAGGCTGAGACCCCCGAGCACAGCCTTGGCTTGCAATCTGAGGCACTTCGTCTGCGGGATCAGCTGCTGTCTGCCAACAAGGAGCACCAGAAGGAGAGCAGCCAGCTGAAGGAGAAGTATGAGAAGACGTTAAAGAAGTACCAGCAGGAGATGGAGAAGCTGAAAGCCGTCAATGAGAAGTATTCGCAAGAAATTGTTGACTTAAAGCATAAGGTTCAGCAGGCCACCAATGAGAACATGGGGCTGATGGACAACTGGAAGTCCAAACTGGACACGTTAGCTTCTGACCACCAGAAGTCTCTGGAGGACCTCAAAGCCACGTTGAACACAGGCCCTGACACCCAGCACAAGGAGATTGTGGAGCTGAAGGCGGTGGTGGAGAGCATCAAGATGGAGCACCAGCTTGAGCTGGAGAACCTGAAGGCAAAGCACGACATCGAGACGGCTGTTCACATAAAGGAGAAAGAGAGCCTCAAGCTGAAGCTGCAGGAGGCTGTGGATGAAGTGGAAAAAAGTAACAGCAACTGGAAAATGCAGCTGGAAACCAAAAGCAATCAGCACCTGCTCGAGCTCCAAGATGTGAAGGACAAGTGTCGGGATGCTGAGCTGAGGGTGCATGAACTGGAGAAACTTCACAGCGAATACAAAGATCAGACACAAGCAATAGCTTTCTTGAAAGAGCAGATTTCTTTAGCTGAGAAGAAGATGTTGGACTATGAAACGCTACAGAAAACAGAAGCCCAGAGCAAACAGGAGATCCACAGATTGCAGGAAAAAGTGCTTGTCTTAGAGAACAAGCTGCAGTCCATGGAAGCCTTGCATCCTTCTCAGCATGCAAACGTATGACTTCTGGGTCACTTTGCTTAGTTGTTATCACTGTTAATAATTCTTCCTAGGAGTAGCACTCAGCTGCTGTCTTGTGCAGTTTGCTGAGGCTTCTGTGGTTTTACTTTCTGTTGATGATGCTTTTTCTGTGCTGCAACTCCATTCTGGGGACTTCCCATCCTTGAAAGCCATTACAGTGGTATAGAAAGTAAGAGTCAAAAGCAGGTGGGCCAAATTTGGGTTCAAAGCTGTGTTAGAGCTGTGATAACAGAACAGGGCTGTCGTGGTTTGGCAGGGAGAGGTGCTCATTCTGTGAAAGCATCATTTCTGCTGTGCATCTGTTGTTCTCTGAGGAGCTGCAACAGGCTTCAGGAGCAGGGTCCTCCAGGGGAAGGTGGAGGATAGGGTGAAAAAAGCATCACGTGTGCTAAGGGAGAACGTGGAGTGTGGTTTGAGAGCCTCAGCAGGGTTGAGCTGGGTGGAAAGCCAGCAGCATGGCCTCATGGCATATTTGGGAGACGTTAGGAAATGCTGTAATTTATTGGGGTTGTAGTGGGAGAGCTGCTATCAGGGTTCAGAGTGGCACCAGGCCAGGGAAATAAAATGCCTGATTGAATGAGAGTCCTGAGCCTCCCCCAGAAAGGCTGGGATAAAAGCAGTGGTGTTGTGAAGTGTGTGACTCACTCACAGGCTTTTCACTAGAGTCAAGCAGGGAGGTTGCCACCCATGGCCCTAGAGCAGGACCTCTGTTTGTGTTTGGCTTTGGCATGAGAAATGAGCTAGCAGCCAACTTGAGCTTGTCCACGTGGGGATGAGGAAAAGGAAAATAAGCCATGAAATGTGCACATTTTGAGAACGTTCATTTGAAATCTATTACCAGTCTGTTCCAGACTGAGGTGCCAATGAAGTGGATATAATGTCTGTGTGTTTAATTTGCCAGCATGAACAACCCCACTGAAATCATTTGTACCACTAGGCAACAAAGTGAAGCCAATGAATTAGCGTTGGCCAAGTCAGAGCTTCATGCCTGCAGAAAGACATCCTCCACTGAAGAGGAGGAAAAAAGCCTGAGGAGGGATCTGCAGCATTAATGGTCCTTCAAGGGTTGCTCAACATGTTTCCTCTAGTAAAGATGGTCGTGAACAATAAGTACAGCTGTGGCCCTGGGAAAAGCAAGTTGTTATTGCAGTGCATCATGTATTATAGCCAAGATTTAAACAAGAATGAATGTAAAAGAAACTTGAGGCTTGTTCCAGAGCCATTTAAACAAGTGAGAGGGCTCTGGGGGATTTTATTGGTATTGGATTAGAACCAGGGAGTCTTGAAGTAATTATTTTTAAGTGTGTGTCGATTAAAATCAGGAAAACTTGGGAAGAAATGCATCGATGAAAGCCTTTGAGTGTCATAGAATAAATTCTATCTTAAAACAGCTAATTTAATGTGTAGTATTAGCTATCCAAATATTTTGAGCAAACAAATATCTCATGACTGTGAACGTACCTTCTTTTCTATGTCTCCAAGTGAGAACAGAGCAGTTAGATAGTTTTCTGTGCCAGAAATACATCTGGCAACGTGTTTCCCCTTCAGGTGTGCTCCTGCTTCTGTCCTGCAGCGTGCATGAGCTGCTGGGGCTGAGCCTGGGCTTTCAGCAGTGGTGGCTTCAGCAATTGCTCAGTCTGAACATTGTGTCCTAAAGTCCCACCGAAGGCTGCTGGATGGGAGGAGGCTTCAAGTGTTGAGCTGTAGCCTCTGGAATGGAAAACATTTTTATTATTTACTTGTTTATTAGTAAGCAGGTGGAAGTCAAGGGCTGGTGGTTACACGGTGCCAAATTGGATAGGTAATGAAATGTCACGCTGTAACTTACCTGAATCTGCCTTGAGATGGAGCCTGAAATATGGGAAGTGGATGTTAGGCAACTGTGTGCAGCTCAGTGATCTTTTAGGGAAGAAATTACCCTGGCTGGGGCAGAGGTGAAGTCTCCTGGATGGGATGGATTTTCCCTTGTTAGGGGGTTGTGCAATGGCAACCCTCTGTCCAGGGTGTTTGGGATTCCCTTGGAATCTCCTGGCCATTTGCACCAAATCTGGAGAGACGAACTATAGGATTTTATGGGAAAAGAAAGGAAAAAGTGAGAAGGGATGCATGTGAGAGGACTTCCATCTGGATGAGAGCCCATGCTTCTCTTGGATACCATGCAGCAGGTACAAGTGCAACTGTGTCACTTGGTACACACTGCCCAAGGGCACCCACGCAATGCTGATACTGCTGTGGATGTTGTCCATGTGTAGGCTGGGCACAGTTTGATGCCATTTGTCTGGTTTTCATTTGAGGCTGTCGTGTCTCAAGAAGGCTGACAGTCTGTGCTCTTCCTGAGGTCTGCACTGTTTTGATTGTAATCATTAATGCTTCAGGCACGTTGTTTCTCTTGGCAATCCTATGGAACTATGCCTGTGGCATTCCCATATGGGGTACCTGGGAGTAATGCTGTGTTATTCCAAGTTGTCATCTTAAATAAGAGTATTTGCACCCAGTGGAAGTGTTTGCCGTTATCTAAGCCTCATGAGGTTAAAGATGAGATGGAGATCCTTGTATGTTTTTCTGAACAGGGGCAGTCTTGAAGTGTTGATGAGAACACATGAACAGCCATCCTAAAGGGTGTGCTTTACGGAGGGCTCTGGATCAGGAGACCTCCAGTAGTACCCAAATGGAGAAGCAACTCCACAAAAGTCTGTTTCCTTCTTGGAAGACTGTAAAGCATCCAGACTTGGGTGCCAGTCCCACTTCTGCTGCTTGGACGGGGCTTTGTGGTTGTTGGTTTTGCTTTGAGTCTTTGACCTAAGGGCTGTTTTATATCTCGTATTCTACATTTATTTCAGATGATTGATACTAATGATATTTCAGAAGAGAAGATAAGGATGAAGCAGACCATGGAAGGTACGTCATGAAGTGTTGCAGCAACTCACGTGCTGTCCCTTCCTCTGCTGTTCTGCTCTTGCAGGCACAGCTACATGAAAGGAGCTTGAGAAGTCATGTTTTTCTTTTCTGTTCTTCTCCCCTTCTTTTCTGTTCTTCTCCCCTTCTTTTCTGTTCTTCTCCCCTTCTTTTCTGTTCTTCTCCCCCTTCTTTTCTGTTCTTCTCCCCCTTCTTTTCTGTTCTTTTCCCCCTTCTTTTCTGTTCTTTTCCCCCTTCTTTTCTGTTCTTTTCCCCCTTCTTTTCTGTTCTTCTCCCCTTCTTTTCTGTTCTTTCCCCCTTCTTTTCTGTTCTTCTGGATAGCATTTGATGTCTGCCCCCTCTAATGAGCAAATGTGGAGGTGGAGGTTTTCATTTTTTGTTATGCAGTCACCATGTAGGTGGTGCAGGTTGGGGACAGATGTGGGGAAATGGCCTCGCTTCATCCCATCCTTGTGTTACAGAGGTTAAACATGGTTACTGAACATACTGTGCTTCTATAAGGGCACTGCTCATGGTAGATATTTTTATGAAGCTTGCTATAAATCATATCCATCCTTTGAATAAAGAATTTATGCACTCAGGAAGTTTATACGATGTAGCTTGGAAGCTGAATTGCTTTTAGCCTCCCTGACCAAAAGGATGAGCTGTGACTCCCAATCCCAGTAACAACAGAGCTGAAAGATTGCACCTGAATGACCCAGACAGCTTGTGGGCTCTCGCTTCCTCTTGAGAAGGGTGTCCTGTTGCATCTGCCTTGAGTTTGGTCCTTTGTGGAGAATTTGGGGCTGATCTGAGACACGTGAGATCCTTCCTGATCACCCCTCCCTCAGGTTTCCTCATTCTTTCTTAGGGTTTATTGGTTTGTTTTTAGCAGAAAAGCCTTGCCAGATGACAGAGTGCTAACTTGTCACTTCCATTTTCAAATGGCACTTGATTTAGAATTATATCCTTTCCTCAGTTATTCACCTCTAAGGAGTCTGTTTTCTGCAAAGCCCTTCTGAGGATGCAGCAATCTAAAAGGAGATCAATGGGACTTTTCCAGGAACTTAGATTTTGCTCAGAGTTTCATTACCCTTTATTTTTGCTTACTTTTTGCTTTCTTAAACCTGTATCATTGGCTTCCTTGCTGTGTAACCTGCCTCCTCATGCCTCCTAGTGCTGAGTGGTGGTGAGATGCAGGGTGAAGAATGTGTGTTACCCCTCTGCTGCTTCTCTGCTGATGTAGAGTTGCCTCTGGTGCCCATCACATCCCATTTATGGCACTTGGAACCCTGACCTTACACTCAACACCTTCCTGATTTGCACAGAAGGTTTTCTAGGCTTCTAATCCTTGTCTTTTCTTTTCGTCTTACTGAAGACCTTCAAGACAAACTGAGTAAAAGAGACAAGGAGGTGTCATCGCTGGTGTCCCAGACTGAAGCCCTAAGGGCCCAAGTAAGTGGTAAGTTTCCCTAATCCAGTGCAGGTGGGAACAAGGTGCTTCTCTGCTCATCCTTCTTTCTATTGAATAAGAGCCCAGGTGCTCAAAGACAGGTGTAAAACATGGCACTGGCTGTTAGTGGGTGTTGCTGGTAAAAATTTGAGAGTTCTAGTGCAAGAGAACACATGATATATCATAGAATGGATTAGGTTGGAGGGGACTTTAGAGATCATCTGCTTCCAACCCCCTGCATGGGATAGTTGCCAAGCCCTATCCAACCTGGCCTTGAATGGCTCCAGGGATGAGGAACCCACAACCTCTCTGGGCAACCTGTGCCAGCACCTTGCAGCTCTCTGAGTAAAACATTTATTCCTAACGTGTAACCTAAATGTCCCCTCTTTTATTTTAAAGCCATTCCCCATTGTCCTGTCTCACACTGTGTAAAAAGTTGGTCCCCCTCCTGCTCTGTAAGCTCTCTTCAAGTACTGCAATGAGGTCTTCTCAGAGCCTTCTGTTTTGCAGAAAGCATTTGCATGAGCAAGGAGGGGTTTGGGCTCACTGGGAGAAACAGAAACAAACAAGCTTGATGTGATGTTCCTGAAACCTTCCCTTAAAGGGGGCCAGATTCAGAGCTTATCAGCCCTGTGTTTTTAAGAATAAGAACTGGGAAAGGCAGAAGTAGAAGTAAATAAAGGACTAAGCAACTTTTCTTCCCCCTTGTATCCTCTGCTTCTCCCAGCTTTGGAAAACAAATGCAAAACCGCAGAAAAGAAGGCAGATTCAGTGTTAAAAGAAAAGAAGAGGCTGGAAGGGGAGCTGGAAGCTTTGACCAGGAAAACACACGATGCTTCGGGGCAGTTGGTCCTGATCAGCCAGGAGCTCCTCAAGAAGGAAAGGTCAGCGTGCAGGACCGGGTGTGTGTGTGCTCAGAGTGCTGTAACCACCATTAACCCCAGCTGGAATGTCCTCACCTCTTGTTGCTGCTGCTTCCAGGAGCCTGAATGAGCTGAGAGCATTGCTGCTGGAGGCAAACCGGCACTCACCTGGGCCTGAGCGTGACCTGAGCCGGGAGGTGCACAAGGCCGAGTGGCGGCTGAAGGAACAGAAGCTCAAAGATGACATCAAAGGGCTGCGAGAGAAGCTGGTTGTGCTGGTGAGAGCCTCAGAGCCCCTCCTGGCCTCAGATGTGAGGTTGGAGGGCTCTGTGCTGTGCTGTAGGGCTGACGCCCATCGCTTCTGCTTCCAAACCACAGTGATTGCATTCATAGAGTCGTTAAGGTTGGAAAAGACCATTGAGATTATCTAGTCCATTTGCTATTGAGCATCTGATGGGAGCATCCCTGACTCTGCCTGGTGTAGCAGTGAAACATGCGTCCATCCTCCCCCACTGCTCCCCTGTTCCCACAGATCCATGGCTAAACACAGCTCACACTGCTGGGAGAAACTGAAGGTCCATCAGTTCCCCTCGCTGCTTATTCCTAGATCAGAAGATGTGTAAAACAATGTTCTCTAATTCCTGTGTACTTCAGTGTCCTCCAGTGGTTAAAATATGAATAACATTTGCACTGTTGGGAACAGCTTGGTGCTGGTTGTATTTGATACCATAGAGCTGTGCTCTCACCCCATCTACTGTTGAAACCGAAACATGGTTCTATTGAGTTACTTCAGATTTGTGCTCTTAAGTTTCCACAACGATTGGTTCTAACGCAAAAACATCCCTGTTTCCACTCTGTTACACAAGGACAAGGAGAAGTCAGTGACGGACCAGAGGCGGTTCTCTCTGATCGACCCCTCGTCGGAGTCGGAGGTGATCCGGCTGCAGCACCGCCTGGTCAGCACCGAGGATGTGCTGCGCAACGCCCTGGAGCAGGGCCACCAGATGGAGAAGCTCATGGAAGCCATGAGGCTTTCCTCGGAGAAAACACAGGTAGAGCACACAGATGTCTGTTGCCCAGGTCACTCATTTGTCCCAATGAAGATTTCATGTGAATTCTTGTTTCTTCCAGGAAGAGAAATATTTCTCGCTCTTGGATTTAAAACTAAAATAAAACACAAGCTGTTAGTGGGATAATTCTTAACTAATTTATAATGTCCTTTAGAATCATTTTTACAGTGTGAAGGTTGAGCCTTTCTGCCATCTCTGCTCCTTGAGAGGGCTTTCCTTGCCCTTCTTCAGAAGCAACTCTGGGAAAACATTCTTCATTTCTCCTATGAACTCCTGGAGGCAGGAGTACCTGATCCAAGTGTGCTGCTGTACCACAGTGTTCCCACTCAAGCTGCTCTCTTCTCTTCCCAATTTATTCAAGTATACCTGTGTTTCTTCTCAGAAGGCAAAACTGCTTCTGTTGTTGTCTTGCATCTTTCCTTGTGAAAATGAGGGCTGCAAATAAATAAGCTCTTCACGTTTGGCCTTTTCTACCACATACCTGAGGTGTTTAAGTCCTGACTGATTCCTCCAGTGCAGTGACCTGCCCCTTGTGCCAAGCTTCTAGCTTTGTAGGGTAAGAGAATAGCTTGGGTTGGGAGGGACCTTAAAGATGGACTCGTGTCCTCTTTCACTTTAGTTGTATTTTCTCACCTGCTATCAGGTGATGGCTCAGGTGCTTCTCTGATACTTGCTTACTTAAGTTCTGAGCTCAAAAATGTCTTTTTCTTGCAGTATTAAGTGACAGTTCATGTTAAGATGGACACAGAATAGTACACACAAGCCAGTGGACAAGGACAAGGGGCAGAGTTTTACCCAAAGCAAGTGTAGATATGTTGTGCTAGGTGATTTGGGGGTGTTGTGTCTTATTCTCTCACTGCCTTTGTGCAGTTTGCAGATGCTCCATAGGGCCCTTTGCATTGCATGGAGGCAGGCAGGGGGATGCAAGGTTAAAAGTGCAGTCCTGAGAGCAGTGCTGTCTCAGCTGAGCATCAAGCTGGTGCTGACATTTCCTTCCATCCTGCAGTGCTGTCTGCTGGTAGCAGGCAGGATAGCTGCGGTGATGACAAATTTGTGGCAGTCCAGGACATGCCATAATACTGTCAAGACCTCTAGACTGATTTCTGCTCCTGCTGTTAATTGCTGTGCGTTAAATGAAAATGCATCATGACAGCCTTGGCTGTTGTAAGCTACGGGAGGGGTGGGGAAAGTTACTCTGTTTGCTTTAATGCTAAGTCCCCTGAGATCAGGAAATCCTCCTTTCCACCTTCCTGGCTCCAGAGGTGGTGCAGGTGGTGATTATTTCTTCCCCAGCTGTAGAAAATAACCTTAAAGTGAATTGGAACGGACTTCATGAGGTCAGCTAATCTATCCTTGGCATTACTGTGATACCTTCATGCTAAGGTAATCCTTGAGATACAGCAGGATAGCATTATGCCTTCAACTACAAACTGCAGTGCCGAGAGACAGGGAGAGGATTACGGACGGAATTGGGCTTCACACTTCCATTGATGTGAGGTTTATGAAGTGCCCAAGTTACGAGGAAGTCTGGATCAAAGCTCTCAGGTTTCAGCATGATGTCTGCTCGTCCTTTTGCCTATGAAGGGGAGCTGTTAACAGGGATTTTGGGCTGAGCCTGAGGACATCGTTGGCCTAAAGAGCTCCAGGTGCAATACTTCTGGAATCAGTAATGCTTCTCGAGGAGCCACGTTTCCGCTGTAGCCCATTCTGCAGTGCCTTCTGACCTCCTGTCTCCTCTCTGACAGCAGCTGCTGCCCAGGGATCTGGCTTGGCATCGCTCTCCCTTTGTCTGCAGAGCCTTCACAGTGTGCTTGAGGAGGAAATCTCTAATTACCACAAGCTGCTGCTGCTCTCCCTTTGCAGGCTTAGTCAGCCCCTGTGCTCTGCAGCCCTTGATGTGCATGGCTGGCCTTGCTATTAGGCAAGGAGACTCAGGAGCTGGGGGAGCATAATGGCACCGTATGTCTTTGTCTCGTTGTCTTGTAATTGCTGCCTCGCTGTGCAGCTGCAAAGTACTTGTCCTATAATAGAGGAAGAGGGTCTTTCTGCCTTGGGAGACCCTGATCTCCCAGCTTTGCAGGAAATGACAAGGATTTGGCACTGAGACCTTTCCTTGGAATATACGCAGTGATTGCTCTGGGAGTCTATTTAATTTCAAGTGAATTACACCACTTTGTATTCATTATTGTGAGCATGCACTGAGATCAAATTTCCAACCTGATCCCTGGCACCCCAGCTGCTCCATGTGCAGGTGGGTGTTCTTCAGCCAGGTAGGAGATGCTGCCATCCGTGATACCTGCACTGCTGTGGCCAGGGGTGCAGCAGCCCAGGGCTGAGTCAGCACAGTGGCTTTATTCCTCCATCCATCCAGGCAAGATTCAAGAATGACATTTAGTGGTGGTTCCTAAGTGATGCATTTAAGCCTGGCAATCTTGTCTCATCTCCCCATAACTTCTGGTTTTGCTGTCACCAGCAATCCACCGACAACAGTGAATCTGATTACTGAGACCCAACCAACTGACATGTGGCGTGCTGTGACTTCAGGCTGCAGCTTTCTCCTCTTGTTTGTGCAGGTTGTACTGTCATTTGGAAGCTGAAAGGCTCTGTATTATCCCTGCTGAAGCAACATTATAAATGTTTAAAGTTCTTGTGCTTTCTAAAGATAGAACAGCCTGTCCTGGCTGCCAGGCTTGTCCCCAGGGATGGGAAACGGGGAATGGTGGTGTCCTTTTTGCTGCACTGATGTTCCCTGTGCTGAGCTGTCTGCAGCTAAAGCTGCCCTTGGCTCACAGTTTGTTTACCAGGATTTAAGGGTCAGAAGTGAAGAATTGCTCTGTGTCCACGTAGGAGCTCAGGGGATGTTGTATAGCTGGGAAGGATGTAATCCCTAACGTGGGGACTGGGCCAGGATGCAGGGATCAGGAAGTGTCTTGCCAAAAATGATGTGATGTTTTTGCTTTCCTCTGTCCTTGCATGGAGTGGCCACTGAGTGTTATTGGGCTGCTAAGGGAGAAGGCAAACCTACCTCAGTCCTTGCAGGCAAGCACTGGTGTCCCTCTTGAGTAAGCACTTTCTGTTCTCTATTGCAGCCTGTTGGAAATTCTGGGTCTGCTAATGGGATTCACCAGCAGGATAAATCCCACAAGCAAGAGGTAAGTTACAAGCAGAATGCTGTTTCAAACGGTGACTGTGCTTTTTTGCCTCCTTTGCTGAGGACAGAATTTGGGTGGGGGCAGCTCTGCCAACACAGCAAGTTGCACCAGTGTTTCCCACGTGTGGAGAGAGCACTGTGCCATTACAATCTCTGGAAGTCACCAGGAGGATGCTCCTTGGTGTCCCTCCCACCAGCAGCAGGCACTTGCTCTGGGGGGAAGCAGCTGGGAGTTTGTCCTCTGTCTCCTGGGTTGGTGCCTCATTGACTTCTGGCAGGATGAGCCAGCACCTGCTCAGTCTCAGATCTGCCATCCCCTTCACAAAGTGGCTTTCCTGGGCCGTGCCATCGTGCCCTCTCCAGCTGTTCATGATGCAGGATAAGGTCTGAAGCCTCAGACCTCACCTGCCTCTCAGGGCAGCCTGAGGAAACAGCACTATGGCTTGCTGGGCAGTGCAGTGGGTCAGGACACGGAAAGCCTGGATTCCCAGTCCTGGCACCCCACTCTGCAGCTCTATTTCCCTTTCTGTCAAAAGACAGAATAGTGCTTGCCCTCATTTTTGCTAATTAAGTCTCTTTTCTTCCAGGAGAAGCTCTGATAGAGAAGAGGTGAAGATGATCATTTCATGCCGGTATCAGCTCCTGTGCACAGTCAGGAAAAACAATATCACATCTGGCTTTAGCACCTCCAAAAGACTAGACACAGTATTTTCACTTTAAAGAAGGACAATGTTTATAGTGTACTAACAGATGGAATCGGGACAATCCTGGAGCCCAGTTTTCCAAGATAGCTGTTGTTCCAGGAGGGAGCAGGAAGATCTCTCTGGGTTTGGTTTCTTACCTGTATCGGTTTGGACTGTGGAATTTGTGTTGCTTGAGCTGCCCTTGTCCTACCAGCAGTCTGAATGATGGCTGCACCCTATGGTAGCTGAGGTGTCAGTGAGTCCCAGTAGCCCCACAGGAGCTGCAAAGGGATTTGCTCATGGTGTTGAACGCTGAAGCATGTCCTGAGGCTGCACGCTGCCCACATGGTCTGTCCCTTCCCTCCCATTCACCCCAAAGACCTGCACAGTGCAACCTGCTGGGCTGCTGGCTCACTGGGACACTGAGTAGGCTGAGGGAAATTGGGTGTGCGTGTTTCCTTCCCTGCCTTGTAGAAGACATATCTGATTCTGCAGCGTGGAGGCTTCACTTGGTACTTGCATCATAGCGTGTCATGCGAGATGGTCTGATTTCAGAGGGGTTATTTATTTTGTTTCTCACCCGCTGCAGTTTGGGGAAGGAGTGGTGGTGTGTCCCTGCAGAGCGCCAGGCAGGGCAGCTCTTCTGATCCATTGCATCTGTATGGGGGTGGGGGGGTTCAGAGCACCAGACCCAGACAGCAGCTCACCGCTGGGAGCACTCATGCAGTAGGGGCTGTCTGCATTTGATGGCTACAGAAATCCTGTGTGTGACACGAACACAAGCAATTGGAGCAGAAGGAATCCAAGGCGAGAGCCCACACGGCTCTCTGTCTGTCTGTGCACAGCAGTGCAGGCTCAGGCAAGCACCCAAATTTGCATCTGGAATCCTGAGTGCTCAGAGCAGCAGGTGGGTGCTGCTGTGTCCTGCTATGGCTGTGGTGCTGGCAGGCGAAGGAAGCACGCAGTTTGCTTGGTTGATTGTTCCTTCTGTTGGAGGCTTTGCTCCTCTCTCCATCTTTGCGCCAGAGCTCCCAGGGACATCAGGATGTGTGCAGTAAGGGGAGAATGTGCTCTTAAAGCTGTGAGGCAGCACCCCATGAAAGTCCAGTTCAGATTCACTGTTGGGTGCTACAGTGAAAACAGGAGAAATAACAGCAGTCTCTTACCGGGCTTCCCCTGCTTGCCTGAATCCTCCAGTTCTCAGAAGTTCTCCTGGTACAATGGGGCTCCTGTGAAAGAGGACAAGACAGAAAAGGGCACTGGGAGAGATCTGAGCCAGGCTATGAGCAGATGAATGTCACTGCATGTCAACTTTTTGCCCTCATTTCCTCTGAAATTGTGCAATTTTTGTTAGCGGGTTGCCAGATTGATGTCATGCTGGACCTCGCTCGCTGGTTGCAGGGTTGATGAGTTCTCCTTCTGTTCAAAGGGAGCAGGAGAGGAGGAGGTGACTTCAGGGAGTGCAGCAGGTCAGCAAACCCAGCTACGTCTGGCTTAAGGAAGGATGTGGGATCCATTGGCTGGAAATGATGCTGATGGGATCCCATCCTGCCTGCTGGAAGCGTTTAATCAGTTCTTACCACCTGGAAGATTGCCACCAACCTGCCTAGCACTGGGACTTTCCAGGGAACCAAAATCCTGGTTGGTGTATTCTGTTGCTCAGGAAAATCCCGGGGACAGCATTCCTTGTTCCAGCTTGCAGCAACCAACACCTCAGTGCTGTTCCTGAGAATTCAGGGTTGGTGTTCCCCAAAGTTCTCCTGAAGTCCCTGCAGCAGCTCCTGGTGCAGTTGGGCGAGCTCCATTCTTTTGTTACTTATATTTTCCATGATGGGTTTTTTAGTGACTGCCTCTATAGGTGAAAGAGTGTTTGAGTTTTCCTCTTCCCTCTTTGAACTCTTGCTCTGTGCAAGGCAGGATCTCCCAGGAGTGGTTATGGGGAGCACACTGCATTAATTCATTGCTGCTACAGCTTCTCCAAGGCAGCAGCAGCAGGTGGGGCAGAGGTGGCCTGAAGTGAATGCTGCTGGTCTTCCCTGGCTGTATGTAGCTGTGCTGCTCCATGCAGCCAAAGCAGGAGGTGGGGGCTCTCCTGGCCATGCTGACATGGGCAGCAGGGTGTAACTTGGTCCTTGTGTGCAGGGCTGTGGGAGCTGCTCGCTGGGCACAGGACGTGCTGTCACACATCTGGGTTCCACCTCAGCACTGAGATGTGGCTGGGGCTGAGGTGGGACCTCTGCTGGGACCCCCAGGGGCAGGCAGACCCCAAACCAGGGACACGCTGGGAAAAGGGCAAGGAGGATGTTCCCCAGCCCCTCTATTTATTTGTAAGTTTAATTGCTATTTTTGCCTATATGTGGTGGTGTATAAAGTATTTCACAATATTCGGTCTTACTGGCTTCGTTCTTTGGGGGAGATGTCCAAGGGCATCGCAGCACGGATGCACCCATCCCTTGTTGGTGGCCAGGGACCAGCCCTGTTTGTGCCTTTATTCCATCTCCAGCCCCGAGGGCGGTGCGGGGGCTGCGTCCCACCTCGCTCCCACCCTGCTGAGTGATGGGCTTCTGCTGAAGGCTGAGACATTGTCAGGTACACCACATCTGTTTGGTGATTCCTTCTCTCTAACCCTCTTGACCAAAGGGAAAAAAAAATGGCTAAATCAGTGTTGGGTGAGTTCAGCTTTATCCTTCCTGCAGTCCCCGAGCTGAGGGATGGGTGCTGAGGCTCTGTGCCGTTGCCTCCCCCCCTCTGCCTTGCAGTAGAGAATGCATGAGGGTTTTGTTATAACAAAAAGATGCAAATGACACTGTAGAAGTCTTAACAGAAATTCCAGTACTCCGTTGTTCTGCAGCTTTAGCAGCTCAGCACTACCTTGTAGGGAATGATTAATACACTAAGATCCTATAGGCCTCATGTAAGTTACCAGAATAAAGATGTTACTAGATGTATAAATGGATGATAACCTTTTACCCGTACAGTATGTATGACAATTTTGTAGATTAGTCATTTTTTGGCTATCAGATTTTGTTAGTATGATATATATAAAAAAAAAAAAAAAAAAAAAGGTTTGACTGCTAATGTCTATTTTGTTATTTGATTCATTTTATTTCTTCTGTACAAAAGCTGTACAAATCTCAGTCTGTGTAACTCCTCCCCATCTGTATCCATGTACAACCCCCCCCCCCTCCTGGCTTGCTGCTGTTGGTGAGCTCATTACTAAACAATAAAATCTGTGGCTGACTTTGGGCCCTAGTGCTGCTGTCCTCCCCAACAGCCCAAGGCCCCTGAGGCTTTGTTTTTTCCCAGTGTCCTTACTCTGGGTGTGGAGTGTTGGGGTCTCCCTTAAGAGTTGGATTTGGGCTGCAGGGTCCCTTGGTCACCACATTGCTTGTTTGCTCAGGGACCGATAGCATCCAGCAACTGTTGGCTTTGCTGGCTCCCAGTGCTTGAAAGGAGAACAATTCTGGGATGTTGAGCCCTGTGATGTGCTCATTGCTTCTGTCACTGAGCAGAGAAGGCTCAGGGGAGAGCTGATAGCAGCCTTTCAGTATCTGATGGGAGGAGGCTTTTTAGTGGGGTCTGCTGTGAACAGACAAGGAGAAATGGTTTCAAACTAAAAGAGAGCAGATTCCGACTGAATATAAGAAAAAGGGTCATGAACCTGGAACAGGTTGCCCAGAGATTGATGTTGGGGTGGTTGTTGCAGTGGATGCCCCAACCTTGGAGACGTGTGAGGTTTTAAGGTCAGCCTGCTCATTGCAGGGAGGTTGGGCTGGATGGCTGAAACAAATCCTTCAGTGATTCTATAAAATCATTTACAGGATGATGGGGATGGAGCCAAAGCCTTGTCCCTCTCTGGGTGTCCATCTGGGTGCCTCTGTCAGGATGGCACCCTAAACCTGGCTGTGTTTACCATGCATTTTGCCTTTAGGGGCTGCTGCTCTTAGCACTACTCAGGGCACCCAGGCCCTGCCTCAGGGCTTTGCTTTCTTGTAGCTCTGCTGTGCAGTTCATCAGCTGCAATCAGGTGCCCAAACCCCTGCTATCTCCCAGAGATAACACTGCAGCGTGCGCCTTTGTTTGCAGACACAACATTTCAGTGCCGTTAATCGTTCAGCGAAGATTAATAAAACATGAAGTTTAAAGATGCCTAAATCACAGTGGGGGAGCTGGTAATCTCTGCCAACAATAATATTTGCACTTTATTTTCCTCTTCCCGTGGAGCCAAGGAGCGGAGCACCACCAGCGCACAGCAGGATGGGGATGTGGGTTCAGCTATGGGCTGGGAGGGGGAAAAGAAAGAGTTGGTGACCCCTATATGGGGACACATGGAGAGGACTTCTCTATGTGGATGCAGCCGTGGGGTACATCCCTATGAGTTGTCTCCTTGAGAAGGGATGGATGTAAGAAGGGCACCCATGGACCATCCACGGTGTAATTCTGCATCTGCGTGCTGTCTCGGTGCTGAATGGCACCAGAAACAAACTTTTTTTCCATCACAAGGGTGTATCTTCCCCACCTCTCTCCTGTCTAACAAGCATCCCTGTCAAAATAGCTTATTTCCTTCCAGAACAAAAAGTCACCTGAATACATTTGGAAGCTGTGTTGCACTATCGGAGTAATCAGAATTTAATTTGATGCAGTCAAGGCTCTAAAAAGATGTTATCAAGGGGAACATCAAAGCTGGATTCCTGCACTTGGAAATGCAGTTGGAATGCTTAGTCCAGATTTCTTGTTTTATCAGAAGCTTTCAAAAAAATCAGTCTAAATAACAAAAAAAAAAAAAAAAAAAAAAAAAAAGAATATTGAGAGTATTTGCAAATTAATGTCTTTTGTAGCTGAACAAAGGCCACTGTCTAACCTACTTCTTTTGCATGTCTGGGACGGTCTCTTATTAAATCCTAATTATACAATTTTGTTGTGTCTAATCACTTCTGCGCTTGCAGGAATTGAAACCCAAAAAATTCACTGCTGTTTTTGCTGCACTGCATTTATCTTCTGGGTGAAGGAGGGCCCATCCCAATGAGCGGGGACACATGGGTATGGGGACCTCCTTCCTTCCATCCCATGCCCATGATATATCCTTAGGGCCGTGGGTTATTCCCAACACTCAGGAAGGCTCTTGAGAAGCTCCAGCTCTTACATTTTTGGGGTGTTTTACTCCATTTTGGAGGCACTGCTATATGACAGCAGCTGATAACTGGGGTGGAGGGTGGCAGAGCACTGACCCTAAACCCATTTACTTCAGTCATCACCAGCTCTATGCCAAACCCTGTTGTGCTGATGGATTAATGGTGATTCACCCCTTCAACTGATGTTCCTGCAGAACCTGAGCCTGACACCATCACCTACTGCCTTGGGGATAGCTCTGTCCCCAGCTTTTGCCCTCAGAACCGTGGCAGAGGAGCTTTGGGGAAAAGGAGACTGGGGCAACATCGTTAGGGAAATAGCACAGATCTTGTGTTCAAACCTTTTGAAGTGTTAATTAAAAAGAATTATGCAAAGGAGAGAGGATTTGAAACATTCATTTGAATCTCAATAAAGCATCTGTATTAAAAATAGCAGTGGGATCAACTACAGATATAGGCATTTTTGAGAAAATTGGGTGCGAGGGCCGATGCCTGCGTCCCCATTGCCATGGGGTGCTGGAGGGCAGTGGGTCCTGCCTGGGAGAGCTTGGGGAAGTGCTTCCCCTCTAATATTGAAGTATATCATCTAAAAGAGCCCATGGGATGCAGCGCTCAGCTCCAAGCAGAGAGGGCAAGTGGGTGCCTGGCTGCTGGCAAGGTGAGAATGGGGCTGGGAGCAGCCCAAGGGGGTCCATGTGGGGTAGGAAGCACCAGGGGCTGATCCAGCCCCCAAATCACCCCCATTGACCCCCAAGTCCTCTTCCAGGCTCGTCACTCCCCATCAAAGCCCTTCATTAAAATCTCCTGCACGTCCTGGCCCTCACTTGTTCCAATAAAAAGCATCCAGGGTATTAATTATCAGATTGGTGGATAACATCGTTAAGTTTACTTTTGAGCTGCACAGATCCACTGGGAATGCCAATCTCTCCTGCCCATGGTGTTGGTGCTGCAAGGCCATGAGTGGGCAGGTGCTCTGACCAGCACTAGGACTGCATGGGGCAGAGCATCAATGGTGCACTGGCACCAATGGTTTGGGGTTTTTGGGGTCATTCCCAGTATGGGAGAGGGCTGTGAGGATGTGGGTCTTCTGGGGAGGTTGGGCAGCAAGCTGAGGAGGTGCAATTAAGGGCTGAAAGCAGATTGGGTAGGTGAGGAGCAGGCCAATGGCATGGAGCTGAACCCAAAGCCGTGCTGCAGAGCCATACTGAGGTCTCATGGGCTGGGAGGATGTTCCAGCTGTAACCATAAGGGTTTTATAAAAAATGCATGAGTAGCATCCTAACCTTGTTCCCACATGGGTGATCCCACCACTGAGACCATCCCAGCCCCATCTGGATGCTGAAATGTGGACGTTGGAGCCAAGAGGGTGGTTGGGTTGTTGGAGCCCCTCAAGGCATCAGCATCCCCCCTGGTGCCTCCTGGCACGATCCTGGCTCCCCAGCCTTCTGCCTGCCACTCCTTTCTGCTTCTTGGGTTAAGGATGGATGCTAGATTGGGAAGTGGCAATGTCACTGCTCAGCTCCCCAGGATGCTGTCTGGGAGTGCCTCTGCAGGGTTCTCATTAGCATGGAAATAATTCAAGAGTGAAGGCAAGACAACTGGAAAACCATTTTATCTGTTGCTCCGGAGCAAACTTATTTTTGCAGCACGGCGTTCAAAGAGCCACACAAATGCAGACAGCTGGCAGCACAGATAGATATGGTAAAGGCAGATAGAGATTGTAAATATTCCATGCAAGCCTTCCTCGCTGCCCCAGCAGGCAGGGAACGGAGGGACTGTGATTTTTTTGATCTTTCTACGGATGTGTTTGGGACCGGTGGATACCAGCTCTGGTGATGCAGTGTTCTTGCCAGCGTTGCTCAGTAGTGCAGAGATGTTGGTGAGGAAATCTCCCCTGCTTTCCCTGCCACGGGTTTTGCTCTCTGCCCCTCCTGCATCCCACATTTGCACTCCCCACCCGAGGCGCCCACTGGCAGCGCTCTTGATCTATAATTCAGAAACCATTTTGTTGTGCCTGGGTTGTCCTCGCCTGAAATACACCAACACAGTGCCCCTCTAGGGAAGGAGAACTCACACTCCTTCTTCCTATTGCATTTCTCCTGACCTTTCTGAAACTTTTTCCCTATTTCCCACTCTAAAGAAGTGTCTTTTTGTGCGTGCGCTCTCCAATTCCACCGAGAGAAGGAAGAAATCAGCATATCAGAGAAAACAACGATCCTTGTGATGCCCAGCAGTCACTAATTAACAAATTTAAAAAGAAAAAAAAAAAAAAAAAGAAAGAGAAAAAAAACAACACCATATATCTCTTTATGCAGATATAATTGTTTTCTGGCTCTGTCGCCTTTTCTTTTGTCAGCGCTGTGACAAGGAAGTGCTTTATTTCTGCAGTGAGATCAGATTAAAACATCCCTCTCCGAGCGCGTTCTCCTCGCTGGGTGTTTTTGTTAGGCACATTGTTTCAGCCCCAGATAAGATGTTTTGCCCACACGCTTTCATCCCATTGCGGCAGTTTTGCTTTTTTTTGCAGAGACTTCTGCAGATGTTAAAACCGCAGCAGAATGAGCAAAGCTTTGCCTTCAGCTCTTTGGGTGGATGTCCCTGTCGGACACATGGATGCTCCACCTGGGGGATGGCAGCTCCAGGTGCCCCCCCTTCCCCTGGCACCCACAGGTGAGCTCCCAGCCCTGCCCATGCTGCATTCCCAGCCTTCTCTTCCTGTTTTTCAGGATGGTTTGGGACTCTCCCTCTGCAATGCTCCCCAAACCCCTGCCTATTGCATAGGGCACGGCCAGGTTGCAGCATGGGGATGACATGGGGATGACATAGACAATGTCCCACGGGCTCACATGGGTCCACAAAGCCCATTTCCCCCTATGTTCCCTTGACACGAGGTTTCCCAAGCAGTGACACAGAGCCGAGGTCCCAGCGAGGCGCTACAGGAGCCCAGTGCAGCTGCTTCATGGCAACGCTATTGTTTGACCCAATTAAATTAATTTTGTGTGCTTTTTTTTTTTTTTTTTTTTTGTCGCTCCGACTTCAAGATAATTAGCCAAATGATGCCCTGATTTCTTTCCTCTAACATCTTCCATTTAATTATTCAGAAAGGCGAGCTGGTTGTTTCACTCATTGTGTGGGTGATGTGGGGCTGAGGGACAGCAGATGCTCCCGGCGCTCACCTGAGCCCTCAGTGCATGGAACTGTGCACCAGAAGGATGCACCCCTGTCCTCAATGGGATTTGCTTGGGATTTCATAGAATCACAAAGGCTGGAAAAGATCACTAAAATCACCGAGTCCAACCAAACCACTGACCACGTCCCTCAGTAACACATGATTTCCATGTTTCTGAACAGGAAACCTCCATGGTTTCTGAACAGCTCTGGGCATGGTGTGAGCCCACCACCCCCGTGGGCAGCTGTGCCACTGCAGCACTGCCCTTCTGGGGAAGAAATGCTTCCTAACATCCAACCTGAACCTCTCCTGGTGCAACTGGAGGCCATCACATCCCGTCCCATCACTGTTACCACCTCACCACCACCTCCTCCTTCATCCCTGTTGGGATTTGGGACGTTTTGTGCCAGGCCTGATGCTACGGAAGGAGCGTTGGGATCGACCCCCATTTCATCTCGCCCAGAAACTCAAACCAAACGTTTGCCAAAAGCTTTTCTCCTCCATTCAACCTCGCGGCAGTCATCACTCATCCAAAAAGAAAATCCAGCGAACCGCACAACACTTGCTTCAAAAGAGGGAGATGGCGGGGGGGGGGGGGGGGGGGGGGGGGGGGAGATATTCACCCAACCCCAAACCCGTGCCAATCCTCCTGCCCAGGGGCCGCTCTCCGGCACCAACAGGTGGCGATAGGCGCCCTGGGACGGCACCGCCGCCGCCGCTCGCTCCGCGCTGCTGCGCCGTCCTCGGGGGTCCCCACCGCCCCCGGCCCCGCGGATGGGCTCGGCACGGCTCGGCACGGCTCGGCTCCCTCCCCCGGCCGGGCTGCGGGCTGGTTAATCCTGTATGTAAATGGCAGCCAATGGATGTTGTTGTTGAGCGGGGCTGGGATTAGCGGCGGGGCGAATGGCTGGCACTCTTACTGGGATTACAGAACAAAGAGCTCTCCGCTCCCGAGCAGGGCGCCCTGCCCGCCCCGGCCCGGCCTCGGCCCCGGCCCGGCCCGGCGGGCAGCACCGGCCCCGCCCGCCGCCCGCGCGGGGAGG